CACGCACACACATCAGATCAATAAACTTGGGAAACATATCTCTCATGATTTTTTGCTTTTAATATCTGCTTCGCTTGTCCCTGTGTCAATGGAGATTAACATTACTAACTTCTCTCTTATGTCGTTCTGTTCATTTGCTTTTATGGAGCCTGTAAAGAAAATACCAAATTTTGTGACTTCTTAACATTTTCTTATTACTAAGACTTTTGAACTTTCAACAGCAGAAAGTTAAGATGTTTTTAATTTTTTCTGCTTTTTCTGTTGATATATTCTATTTTGCAAAGAAGGGAAAAACAGGATTTGACAGGCTGGACATACGGAAGGTCAGGGGTCCCAAAATCCTGTGTAAGTTCTTTGGTAGTTCGGAAGTAAGGTGAACATACAAGAATCATCCAATAATTCATAGTTAAGTTATCTTTCCACTGTGCTCATGTGAGATTTTTTTTCCTCTGCTCTTTTTTTTAGCCTCTATAGTCTCTTTCTAAAATGATTTATTTTTGAGATTATAATATAACTACCTCATTTCTTACCTTTTTTTCTCCTTCCAAATACTCTCATATACCACTTTTTGCTGTTCTTTTCAAATTCATGGACTCTTGTTGAATTAATTGTTGTTACGTACATATGAGTATATGAATATGCATATATAGTCTTAACAGTACAAGCATTACCTGCTCAACATCTTTTATCCATGATTCCATGTAGTTCTATTATCTCAAATGCTCTTGGACAGTGACTTTTTTTCTGATAATTTTTGTTCTGGTAAATATCAATTCAGGGTTGGTAAACATAACAGCAAGTAAGAGCATGGAACATGACCGTAATAGCTTCTTCCTCAAATTTCTTGGAGAAACTTGGAAGTGGACTTAAATAAGGAAACTATTGTATTATAACATTGGTAGAAAGATCTCAGAACAAGTAAATAGAGCAAGGGTGTTTCATAAAAGGAATGGACATATGTCAAGTTGAATCTAGTATTTACATATTTGCTTAACATAAAACATGACAGACACAATGTTGCAATGAATGTTTGCTTAATGAATATATATTACTCTCATGATAGTGCAAATAGCTATGTGAATTTTCTAAATTTAACTTTCATATGTGATATTTTAATACTGCCTAATCCCCATCAAGTGAATTAGATATGTAATTTTGACAAGCATTTAGTCTCCTGTCCTATAGTCCACACACGGTATATTTTACTGTGCTATAGGCTTTAGTCATTAGGTTGATTCAGTGATATCACCATTTTTAAAAAACTTCTTGTCAATACTTTTGGTAAAATGGCACCAAAAATAGATTTTTATCTTTCCTGTGCTGTTCTGAGAGTTATACTAAGATGTGTTTCACTCATGTTAAAGAAGAATTTTATTTATTTGGACTTGACCTTTGTACAAGGAGATAAGAATGGATCGATTTGCATTATTCTACATGCTGATCCCCAGTTGAACCAGCACCATTTGTTGAAAATGCTGTCCTTTTTCCACTGGACCATTTTAGCTCTTTTGTCAAAGATCAAGTGACCATAGGTGTGTGGGTTCATTTCTGGGTCTTCAATTCTATTCCATTGATCTTCCTGCCTGTCTCTGTACCAATACCATGCAGTTTTTTATCACAATTGCTCTGTAGTACAGTTTGAGGTCAGGGATGGTGATTCCTCCAGAAGTTCTTTGATTATTGAGAATAGTTCTCACTCTCCTGGGTTTTTTAATATTCCAAACAAATTTTCAAATTGCTGTTTCTATCTCTATGAAGAATCAAGTTGCAATTTTGATGGGGATTGCATTGAATCTGTAGATTGCTTTTGGCAAGATGGTTATTTTTACTGTATTAATTCTGCCAATCCATGAGCATGGGAGATCTTTCAATCTTCTGAGATCTTAGATTTCTTTCTTCAGAGACTTGCAGTTCTTGTCATACAGATGTTTCACTTACTTGGTTAGATTCATACTAATGTATTTTTACATTATTTGTGACTATTGTGAAGGCTGTCTTTCTCCTAATTTCTTTCTCAGCCTGTTTATCCACATGAAGCTCATGAAGAAGGAAGACCTAAGTGTGGGTGCTTCAGTCCTTCTTAGAAGGAGCAACAAAATACTCATGGGAGCAAATATAGAGACAAAGTGTGGGACAGAAACTGAAGAAGGGGCCGTCTGGAGACTGTACCACCTGGATATCCATCTCATGTGCAGTCATCAAAGGTAGATGCTGATGGGGATGCCAGGAAGTGCATGCTGACAGGAACCTGATATAGCTGTCTCCTTAGAGGTCTGCCAGACCCTGACATATACAGAAGCAGATGCTTACAGCTAATCATTCTATTGATCACGGGGTTTCCAATGGAGGAGTTAGAGAGAAGACTAAAGGAGCTGAAGAGGTTTACAGACCCATGGGGAGAGCAACAATACCAACCAACTAGAGCTCCCAGTGTCTAAACCACTAGCCTGGAGCACATAGGAAGGGACCCATGGCTTCAGCTGTACATATAGTGGAGGATGGCATTGTCGGGCATAGGTGGGAGAGGAGATCCTTGGTCCTATGAAGGCTGGATGCCCCGGTGTGGGAGAATTTGAGAGTGGGGAGGTGGGAGTGGGTTGGTGCATGAGGGTACATCCTCATAGAAGCAGGAGGAGGGGGGATGGGATCGGAGTTTCTGAGTAGGGGAGAAATGGGGAAGGGCATAACATCTGAAATGTAAATAAAATATCCAATAAAAAATAACTTGCTACTCTGTAATGTTTTTGCTCTTAATACAAATTAGCAATAGATACTTCAAGGTACACTCTGTTCCACACAAAAAGCATAGTTGCATAAGCTGTTGTAACAGTGAGCTGATCTTGGTGCTTAATCTTCAGTGAGTATTGCTACATTGTCATTTGACCTGGACAGACTTGGCTTCTACCTTTGTCTTACTACTACTACTTAGTAATTTATATATGAGATGGCATTTGACTACTCGCACAAAGAAGTTTGAAGAAGACGTACCATGAGGAACAAAATTCTGTGCTTTGGATTCTTTTTTATGTTCCTTGCTTATCTTATTTATGTACCCATACCAGAAAACATTGAGGAACCATGGAAAGTGAGAATTGTAGATGCTGGCATGAAAATATCATCACTTGTGGTAATATATTTTTCCTGCAAAATTGGGGAGCTTTGTTACAAATAGATATGAAATTTCCTTTCATCAGTATTTTGAAAGATACTTTGCTTTTCTTTAGTGCTATATCTACAAATTACTATAGTTCATGTGGTTAGCATTTGAGTTATTCATTAACATGCTTTATTGTCTATTGAAGGAATCACAGTGTTTTTAAGATGTTATTTCTAAAGTTAATAATGTATTGACAAAACAAAAGAACTAGTTTTCCTTAAAGAATATTTGGGTAGTTGTTCATATGTTTAAATATATTTGATGGTTTATCAGGAAACCTAGGCTCATATATTTTCATAAATTCATGTATCTAGACCACATATTATAAAAGTTTGTATATATTAAACCTTTCATTGTTTTAGTGCCTTTCTCCCCTTTTTAGGTAATTCCTAAGCTTCCTATATTCAAAAACTATTCTTGAGCGAAAGAATTGATCAATATTAACTGTGTTAATAATCAACTCAATGGTAATGATAATTTCATTAGAACTCTATGCAAATGTTATGTTGATATTAAAATAATTACATTTTAATAATCAGAAAAATGTTATGATAGTGACATTTATTTCTTCCTTTTCATATCATTTAGCAATTATTTGTATAATAATTGTAGAGCTGTATTTTTGTGTTATAATATTCCATCTGTAGAATTCACTAGAAATGTACCCTGTGTACTCATGAATGGAGCCCATTTCTTTTTTTGAGCAGAAAGTGTGCTATATGGCACATGCTCCCTAACATAACTTAGATATCCATGCAGCTCAAAGGCCACATCTTGGAACAGTCTGCTACTGTTGTCTGTCTTTAGGTCCATGTTGCTGGCATTAGGACTTTATAATGATAGTGCCTAAATCTCTTTTACCAAAATATGCTTCTGTCTGGAAGCCTTTGACTATTGTGACAATTGTAAAGCTTAGAAGTAGAGATGAGCAAACAATGGATGATCAGAGAAGACACAGCAGTGTATGGTAGATGAGAAAGACATGGATATTGCACTGCAGGATAGTGATCTCCTCATGCTGGACAACTGCCTTATTCTCATTCTGATTTCTGTGATAATATATCATGACAAAGTGAACCTAGGTGAAAGACTGTTTAATACAGTCCATTATTCCAGGAAGATCAAGTTTGGGATCTTAATGTGTAATTAAGAGCAGAGAGAAATGAAAGCATGGATGTTTATATTTAGCTAGCTATCTAGGTACAAAATCAGTGAATGAAGCCATCTAGCTACAGGGCTGTATATTGCTACATCTATTAATATAATCAAACAATTCCTCATACATTTGTTCGCCAGTCAACATGATGAAGACAGTCCTTTATTGAGACACTCTCCTAAGGTGATTCTAGGTTGTATGAAGTTGACAGTTGAACTAATCATTAAAATAGCTAACATTTATTTTTGAGTTCAAAGTTAGGTAAGTTATCCTGGTTCGGTTTCTTAATGCTTCACATTATTGACTTGGACAATATAGGAAATGAGGATAAACACAAGTTCTATTTTAAAGGAAAATTGCCACGTCATCATTATTGAGTAGTTCATATACTACTAGACTCTAAAGTGTCCCAGTGCTTATCTCCTATCAGTATAAGTATATTCTGTGACTTTTTTGTCCTCAAATGTAAAATAGAACCAGGAAACATGTAGCTGTACATTGTTTTCCTTACACATGTATATATATGAACAAACTATGATTTATTTAACTGATCACTCCAGTTATTGACAAGCTTCCACTGGGGAGTTCAATTGATACAAATTTTGCTTATGATTTTTACAGCCAGCATGACTCTCTTTTAATTATTATTTACGTGTCATGTCAGGTGTGAGAAGGTTGTGAACATGGCTGCATGACATAGTTTCAGCTGCAGGAGCACCATCAACCTGAATAATGCATCTCTGGCTTTTTAGTATACAGATGGCATTAGTCTTTCTTGAATGCTTGTTTATTTTCTTTTGTCTACACCCTATTTGTTCTTAAATATGATTTTGATCATTTTTTTTCTGGGAAAAGGGTTGAAGGCATTACTAGAGAAGGAAATGGCTTTGATAACTATTTAAACAAACTGCTCTGGCCCTGGCCATTGGAGCAGCTAACCCAGGTATAACAGGACAAGGAATCTGGATGTGGAGGCTGGCTGCCTTAATTGTTCTCTGGGAAATTTTTTGCCAATTCATGATGATGATTAAGTTGTACAAGGAAATATCTGAAGCATGAAACGTTTTTGAGAAACCTGAAGCTTTAGCAGTTAAGAGAATAATTGAAGACCCCAAGGAAAAGGAACGCTGGCCCTGGGTCACTAAGTACAGGGATGTCCACAGAAAATATGAGGGACAGGATAGAGTAGAAATACCTGGGTATGCTTGATTAGTGAACACTGGTGAGAGCCCCCACAAGAGGAGATCTCTAACAATAGCAAGTTTGATCCAGAAATATTGGGAAAAATTGGAAGCTGTATGTATAATAAAAGATAGAAAGGATGGATAGAACAGTTTGGACCTCACAAGTGGGCTGTTTGATTAGTGAAATGACCTTGCTGGAAAGATGGGAGCGTGCTGATTTGACCCCCTGGTATGGTCTGCCTAAGGAAATTAGGGTATAAGTTCTAAGAGATAGAATTTGGGCCTATGAAGGAGTCCTGGGGGAATCTGCAAGAGGAATTAATATTGCATATAGAAAAGAGTTTGAAAAGTGTTGTACACATAGATATTTGGATGAGCTTAATAAAGAGATTCTGCAAATTTAGACAAGCTAAAAATATTAACATTATCCTGATTTGTTTAGCACCTTTCTGTTTTCATGCTAACGTTGTAACAGCAAGTTTATGCCCAGATGACCTTAGTTAAGCTTATCAAAACAAGAATTAACAATCCCTCCATCCTGAGACAATTACACTAATACATGCTACTGAAATATTCTAGTAACAAACAAATTATAATTACTTTAGTTGAACTAATGGTTATATGTTAAGAAAACAGAAATACTAAAGAAAGATTTATTTCAGCTACAGAAATAAAAAGAGATTTATTGTTTTATCTTTTCTTTTTTTATTGGATATTTTATTTATTTACATTTCAGATGTCAGATTTATTTAAGGAAAAAAGAAACTTCTTGGTAGCTTAAAAATGGAAACTTAGACTATTAGTAATGTAATAACTAAATAATTAATGTTTAAACCCTGAAATGAATTGAAGTCAAAGGAGCTGGCTTGGTGGGTAAAGCACCTGCTGCACATGAAGGAAAACATCAGTTTGGATCTCTAGTACCCACATAAAACTAAACAGGGTACTGTCCATTTCATTTGTGATCCTGCACCTCCTATAGTGGTATGGGAAGATAGGGAAATCCCTGGAAACTTATGGAGTAGCAGGACTGACATACGCAGTGGCAAAATAAATAAATAAATAAATAAATAAATAAATAAATAAATAAATAAAATAAATAAAAAGCAAACAAGCAAGCAAGAAAGAAAGAAAGAAAGAGAGAAAGAAAGAAAGAGAAACAAACATACAAAAAGGAATACAGACTTTATGTCACACAATATGGCAACTGAGAAACAATATCTGAATGTATTCTCTGGCTTCATAGATACATACATGCCTGCAAATACACACACACACACACATACACACACAAACACACAAGATAAATTTTAACAGTTATAACTAGTCCTTCCAGTCTGCGCCAGTACCATGAGCATAAATAACTCCCTCAAAGAAGTACAGAAGAACACAAGTAAACAGGTAGAAGCTCTTTTAGAAAAATCTCTTAAAGAATTACAAGAAAACACAACTAAACAGGTGAAGGAATTGAACAAAACCATCCAGGACATAAAAATGGAAGTAAAAATAATAAAGAAATCAGAAAGAGAGACTACCTTGGAGATACAAAAAACTAGGAAAGAGATCAGGAGTCATGGATGCAAGCATCACCACAGAATACAAGAGATAAAAGAGAGAATCTCAGGTGCAGAAGATACCATGGAAAACATTGATACACTGTCAAAGAAAATGCAAAATGTAAAATACTCCTAACCCAAAGCAACCAGGAAATCCAGTTCACAATGAGAAGACTAAATCTAAAGATAATAGGTATAGAAAAGAGTGAAGATTCTCAACTTAAAAGGGCAATAAATATCTTCAACAAAATTATAGAAGAAAACTTTCCCAACCTAAAGAAAAATGCCTATGAACATAAAGTAAGCCTGCAGAACTCCAAATAGACTAGATCAGAAAAGAAATACCTCCCATCACATAATAATCAAAACACAAAATGCACAAAACAAAGAAAGAATATTAAAAGCAGTAAGGGAAAAGGGTCAAGTAACTTACAAAGGCAGACCTATCAGAATTACACCAGACTTCTCACCAAAGAGTATAACAGCCAGAAGATGCTGAACAGATGTCATACAGACCCTAAGAGAACACAAACGCCAGCACAGGCTACTATACTCAGCAAAACTCTCAATTATCGTAGATAGAGAAAACAAGATATTCCATGACAAAACCAAATTCAGACAATATCTTTCCACAAATCCAGCCCTACAAAGGATAACAGAGGGAAAACTCTAAAACAAGGAGGGAAATTATACCCTAGAAAAAGCAAGAAAGCAATCTTTTTCCAACAAATCCAAAAGAAGATAGCCACATAAACATAACAGCATCTCTAATGACAAAAATGATAGATATTTAGCAGATATCTATAGAACATTTCATTCAAATGCAAAAGAAGATACCTTCTTCTCAGAACCTTATGGTACCTTCTCTAAAACTGACCATATAAAGGGTCACAAAACAGGCCTCAACAGATAAGAAAATTGAAATAATCCCATGCATCCTATCAGATCACCACAGACTATGGCTGGTCTTCAATAATCACAAAATCAATGGAAAGCCCACATACACATGGAAACTGAACAACAGTCTACTCAATGATAACTTGGTCAGGGAAGAAATAAAGAAAGAAATTAAAG